TTTTAATAATATCGTTTTTTCCGAAAAGTAAGTCTTTTTTGTAAACCATATTTTTCTCATAAAATCATATCAACACAAGACGACGAAATATGCGACGTTTTTCAACGCATCGAAACGAAAAACTAAATCATTCATGTAGGTGAGGGTCGTGTGTTACGTGTAGAACTACCGAGAGAGTCATTCAGACATCGGAAGAACAGGCACACAAACATATCACATGACAAGGAGACAACTGTTCATGTTTGTAACTGGTTCTCGTCGCCGCTCATTCCTGTCGTTTACTGTTTCACTTCTAATAATATAATATAATTTTATCGTTGCAGCGCATGACTCCTGAAAAGTCCTTCTTTTTATCGTATTTGGTTCTTTTTTTTCGAAAACTTCCTTCTCAAAATCCTTGTTTTTGGTGACTCCCTGCTGTGACCCGTGTTCAGCAGATCAGGCAATCTTCATCTGGATTCTGATGAGAAACACTCGATCTTGTTTGCTAGATCAACGATCAACTCGCCCTCATCCTCACCCTCGCTATTTCGACGAAGATTCGATCAAAATTGTAACTACAAACCGTGAACAATTTGCTCAGATCAACAGAATTTGTTAACACCTCGTGAAATGCTGCACAGAGTAGCTCGTTCTTAGTCAATAATACAACCGTGCTTTGTTCAATGGTAAGTTGTTTCATTTCAATATTCATTTTGCTGATTATTTGTTTCAGCACGGGTCTGACTACTTCTTCTTCGACAGCCGAGTAAATAATACGTTTTCTTCCATTAGCCAAATTATCGTGTTCCGAAACACTACAGACCGGACACTTTTTTCTTTTCTTGCACTTTTTCTAGTGTAGTTGTTAACTTTTCGTTATGCTTTTTCTAGATTTTGTTTCTTCCTGGGGATCTTTATTTTTTAACAACAAAGTGAAACCGATCGAAACAAATAAATCCTTTTAATTCATTAACATTAAAGTCAACTGTACTACTCTGCTAGTTTTGTGCCACTAGCTTCAATTCTACGCCAGAGACATTAGTGTTGCTCGTCTCTTCTTCTTCGTCACACACTCACCCTCAAAGTACGAATCCTTGCAGGATCCTTATGGGATCTGTCAAGGATCTAGCACGGACACATCAAAGATTTTCCCTAGGGTTATGATTAATAAACACGTCATTTACAAAGTATATGAAACCCACAAGCACTCATTTCAATCAATTTTAACTCAAAACTGATATCACTTTATGAAAACCACATCTAGAAATATGTATTACTATGTTTTCAGCCAGACTTTGACATATATATACAATCGTCTGGAAACAGTAGTTATTTGAAAAGATTTTACTAGCAAATAAACTGCACAAACTATCTTGAGGGTGTCAAATAAGTTATATTATCGAATTAGTATTGACATTCATCAAGATTATATAAAAATTAAAAAAAGGATGACGGGAGTAGTTTGAATAGTGAAGTCATGGTATTGCGACTGTGTCACTGGCAATACATACGTGTGCATATTAGCATCTTCCTGTGTGCTTGTAAACACTTTTCGACAAAGAATACATTCAGACATGGGGTTTGTTTGTTGTCTCTGAGTGAGGCATGTGTTACACATGGTCTTATGACCACATGGCAAGCAGCGTCGATACCGTGGCTGATCTAAGCATACAAGACATGGTCTAGAGTTGGCCACTTGATTGGCGATATTCTCTAATTCCTGCACAACTTGAGATACAGTAAGACGTTTCTTAGGATCCACATCGACACAACGAAGTATTAATTGTCGAAAACTATCAGGAACAAGAGTTTGATCAAGACTGTTGACATCAGTCTCAGTGATTGGTCGTGTCAGTTCAACATAGGTGCGTTTAGGTGTAACTACATACATAAGTATGCCCAATGAATAAACATCAAGTGCTGCTCCATCATATGAGAACTGATGATCTGAGCTAAGCTCGGGAGCGAATGGACGCGATCCGATCACTGTTACATTCTCTGTGCCATGTTGACATGTACCGAAATCGGCTAGGTAGACTTGTTCATGATCATCAAGCAAAATGTTGAGGGTTTTCACATCTCGATGCACAAGTTCATAAGAATGCATATGTGCAATTACACGGGCAATATCAAGTACAATCTGTACGACTCTGTCTATTGATATATTGCAAATATTTGTAACTAAATACGTACGTAAATTGGTTCGATAACGAGGCAACAGAATGAAGAGTTGTTTCTGTTCAACGGATGCTGCTGCTTGTGCTTGTTGTTCTTCTTTTTCGAATAGATAACGAAGTGGTACCATGTGTTCAATTCGAAGACGTGTAATAGTACGATGAAAGTGTGCTTCCAAGTAAACCATGTCGGGATATGTCACAGGATCACGAGGTATCTTGGCAACTAGTTGTTGATTAACGCCCCAGGAAGCTGGGTGAACAATGAAGAAGCCACCCTGACCGAGTGATTCACTGCCGATCATAGGTTCAGTTCCATGATGTTTAGCCAAATCAAGATTAGCAACGAGGCGACATTCGATACGAGCAAAACGTCCAGAAAATGTACGACTCAATTTGTAAGCTTTCTCTCGACGTTGCTTGGTCTTTTGAACGATGTTATGATAGGTATCCACTTTGAGTTTGAATTGTTTGCGGTTATCATCAAGCCACTTGCGCAGTTTTGGTTCCATTAATTCGCTTATATTAGATAAATGATCTTCGACATCAACTAAACAATGCCTGATAGCATTTTTTTGATTTTGCTCCTTTCTTATTTCATTATCATGGTGTATGCCAAGTAGGCTAAACTGTACACGAAGAGCTACTAGCCTGGCGAATAGCACACTGGACAAAACGAAACACATAATTTCGGTGAAGATTCGATCAAAATTGTAACTACAAACCGTGAACAATTTGCTCAGATCAACAGAATTTGTTAACACCTCGTGAAATGCTGCACAGAGTAGCTCGTTCTTAGTCGATAATACAACCGTGCTTTGTTCAATGGTAAGTTGTTTCATTTCAATATTCATTTTGCTGATTATTTGTTTCAGCACGGGTCTGACTACTTCTTCTTCGACAGCCGAGTAAATAATACGTTTTCTTTCATTAGCCAACTCATCGTGTTCCGGAATGCTATAGTTCGGGCACATTTTCATAAGGAATTTCGCCGGAGTATACCATCCTTTTTTGTAGGTGATGAAAGCGTTTTCTTCCATACGATCGCGTCGTTCATGGAATTTCTGAAGTACATGTACTTCAATATCCTTTGCCATTGTATCAATTTTGGCGCGATACTGATGAAAGAATTCATCGGACCAGTTGAGGGCCTGTTCTCGTAGTCGATCCCATTCAACAGGTGAACGTCGATTGGTGACAAGTACGAAATCGAAGAAGGCGTCAATAGCATCTAACATGATTTTACTAACATATTTAGTGCCCTGTAAATCGTGCTCGGCTGCAAATTGAATAATCCGATCAATTGCGCCCTGCTGTGTTGCTTGCTGTGTTGCCCTGCTGTGTTGATAAAATGTTGTACGTTGGACGTTCCAAATGTTCTTTGATAGCCTCTTTCAGTTTCTTGGTATTCTCCCGTCGACTAGTTATGTTCGCACCAAAGTATGGCGACAGATCGAGTAATCTAGAAGTTTGTTGCTCAATAAATGCCGATTCCACGGAAATATGTTGCAGTAGACATACTTCATCAGGTGATGCATAGGAGAATTTCACAATACGACCCGTTACGGCGCCATCTCCAGTCGGTAGAAACGCGCCATATTTGAGAAAACTATGCAAGAACGACGTTTTTCCTGCCGAATTATACCCACACACGACTAGTTGCATCTTGTCAAATGTTTTAAACTCATCAAGTGATTGCTTCTTTTCATCATTAAAAAGGATGTCAGTCACTTGCTGAACAGTCATTAATTTATCGTATTCAGTAGAGATATTATCGAGGAAGTCTCTTTGTAAATTAAGAAATTCTTTTATGACGTCTTTTGTTGAACGTTTTATAGCATTGTTAGAGAGAATAATACGTGAAATAGTTTCATATGCATCTGAACTTGTCATTATGATCTTTACTCAGAGTAAATCTGAAAAACTCATCTATTTGCAAATCATGATAATTTTTACAACGCAAAAACAAACTAGTCATACCTACGCAATGTCATCTAAACCAACCTTGCTGCATGCTACGACGTGAATAGTGTAAGATAAAGCGCTTTATAATTACCCACTTGCAGTGTTGGTATGATCAAAAAGTGCTCTTTTATGAATATCTCTCGACATGTTTGACTACGATATCTGTAAAGTAAGATGCCTATACACGTTGATGTCTTATCTTTTATTGACACAACATGTGCATCATACTCGCCTTTTGATGAAAACTTACCACGGAGAAAGGAATGATAGTATACTGACAGGATATAGCAACAATCGAAAATTTCTATCTTAGTCATAGTTGTGATATGATTGAACAAGCAAGTGCTTCCACTTTATTCTTGTGGGTCTGTAGAAATTTTAATATAGTACGTTACGTGACATAAGCTAGGATAAAGTAAGTTGAATTTCAAGTTTTCTAGCCGTTTAGATACATAAAGCGCTCCGAGCGAAATCAATTATTTATAAGCGATCTAAATATCGATGGAAGTTTTATTAAGTGACTTCCAAGAACTCCAAATGACAAATTTTCAGCACTTTTCACTTACTTACAGATTAGCTAATGTATTCGCCCATTACGAGCTACCTTTAGCCGTTCTTTGCTAACCTTTACGGCAGCTTCCACTGGATGACGTAAATGAATTACAAAGTACTTCAAAATAATTGAAAAAAACTGAATTACAAAATAATTCACTTATTTTTAAACTTTATCAGTGGAAACATCTTTCCACTTTATCAGTGGAAATTCAGACATAAGGCGCAGAACAGGTCACATTATATTCGAATATAGCGAAATGCCATGCAAGCAGTAAACGACTATAGCGATACCGTAATTTTTATTCCTTTCCTTTCTTCCACTATCTATCAATCAACACTCATGTTTAACGACTACACGACGGCCCATCACTAATTAATAATACGTAAAGAAGAAAGACGAAGAAGCGAGCGGATGTATTTATGCCTGTCAGTAGTTTAAAGAGAGAAAAAGAACAAGTCAATTATCAAATGGCCGCAAGCAATTATTTTTCATAATGTTTTCATAATGCATGACTAAGAAATCTCAAGTTTATATTGTATACATAAATATTAGTCGTAAGTGTTTAGTCATAACGAACTCTGGAGATGAAAACACTCTAAAAACGAAAAAGGAGAGTCATGTCAAGCGTTACTCTTGTGACGTTTGATTTGAACAGTACTTTTGCCTCATTTTAGCCTTAACACAAAATTTGCTCCTGACGACATCCCTCTTCAATGCAAACTGCACTCATTGAAATTTGTTAGAGTTTGCACTAGAATGATATCACCCTCCACTAATCAAAACATATGATGGATGTTTTTTAGGTGTATGTTTGTATCTCTTTCTAATTTAAATTCACTTTTTTAATCTTTTTAAACATTAGAAACGTGTTCTGTTCCCGTCTACTTCTCGAAGTATGGATACACTTAATACTATTGTCGGCGAAGAAGGCACTGATAATACTTCTAACTATGAAATGTGGAACGGTGTTCCGAAAGTGCAATTTACTACCGTCGAAGCCACCACTGGACCTTCGAAATCAGCTCGGCAACGGCGGTTCACTACAAAAAAACTTCGTTCAACTCTTACTGCACCACGTCAGTTCTATTTTAATCATCACTATGGACATAGCAATCGTAGCCATCCATTCACCAGCCTCCTCTTGCATGGTTCCTTTAATCGACAACTCCAGTTTTCTGTTCGTCTCACGTGTAGTTTTCTGTTTGGTGCATTCATTGCCTATGGTACATCGTTGAGAATGAATTTAAGCCAACAGTTCTTGGTGCCAATTATGAGTATCCTCTGTCTGCAGGAAACGTTGGGACAGACTTTGGATGGATGTTATGGAATGCTGAAGACACTGGTACCGTTGAGTGTGTTTCTGTTTGTAGTGCAGAAAATTGGGCTGGGCTATCATGATTACGCCGGTAAGTTTGTGCAAACTCAATTTTGGAAAGAATACTACGTTTTGCTCATAAAATGAGGTTTTTGGTCTTTTCCCTGCGCACAGCTCATCTGGAAATAGGGTTCAGATGAAGGTGAAGACTATAGTTCCGCGATGAATTATCGATGATCCTTGAAAATTTGCTCAAATGAATAAAGTCTACCGAAACCCGGGACGCATTACAAGCCCATTCCCGGGTTTGAATTTTTGGATGCAATAAAAGCCTTCAGAAATCGGCTGGAAGGGAAAAGTTGACCTCTGTACAAACCCACCTATAAACTCATAATTTGTTGGACACAGTAGAAGCCCAGTGAGCTTAAAATACGTCCTCGAATTTATAGTATAATTTTGTCAAAAAAGCTGTCAGCCATCATTGCGCATCCTTAATCTTCTTTTTGCTACTTTAGCAACTGAAATCCTACTCCTTGTCTCCACGTTGTACATCTCCTATCATTGTGCCTCCATTCAGCAGCGTAAAATTAGTCTCCTATTCAGTACTATCTTCTTTGCAACGATCATCAATCGCACTCCGGTTCCATCAATGTTCAGTTTCCAACTATTGCTGGTTTTTGTTTTTGGTATTGTCATTGGCAGTTGTACAGCGGTGGTTGTCTTTCCACTTACAGCTACATTTGATATTGAAAATCGATTCTATTATTCGTTGGAGAATCTCAATCGGTTCTACACACTGAGTATACAGGGGTTTCTGTCGGATGATGAAATTGCATCGCAAGTGACACAAGTACAGGGTGAGTGTATTTGAAACCTAAAAACTTTTGTCGTGCAAGACGTTTCTTCAGGGGTTGCACACGTTTTTT